AAATTACAGACCGCAAAGGCGAAACAAAAATACCATGGTTTCTCTGGCAGCCATTCAGGAGATGTGTTTCAGCCGGCAAGGAAATGTGTTTTTTATTATTGTTTACTCCTGCAGTGAAACTCCGATCTCATGAAAAAAATGTTCTGGATGAAATCAGACACAGGAGAATATAGGTCACTGTAGTGAAGTGTGCAACTGAAGTGTGAAAATACAGACAGATGTATGTATATATATATGGATGGATGGATGGATGGATGGATGGATGGATGGATGGATAGATAGATAGATAGATAGATAGATAGATAGATAGAAACTGTTATAGGCAGGCAGGCAGACAGACAGACATAGATACAGACAATATAAAGAAAATTAACCTATTAAAAATATAAACAATTAATGTCAAACATATTACATATAATACCAATTTTATATTTAAAGTATTTTTCCATTTCATATGGACTTAGAAATTCATTATTACTTTTTGCTGTTAAAGGAACTTTTGAGGAAAACAAGACTTTACAGAAATGACATTTTGGAGTTTTAATCTGAACTTCCTCTGAGTCTTACTCATAAAGAGCTGGTTTACTAACATCTTAACAAGCTTAGCAAGCTAACATGAACAGTACAAAACTAAAAACACAAACTTCTGACATCAAACAGCTCACAGCGCTCGCTACATTTGTGAAAGCCTTCATGAGCTTTCACGCTGTTTTCAAAGCATGTACATGTTAAATGTCATGCCACTTTATTAACACATCGAGTTTCATAAAAGCTAAGTTCTGACTTAGTGGATAGAGTCTGATCACTTCATTTCAGCATGTATCTTTAGCTTCACTGCGGATTATCTGTGTTTTAATGAAGGGTTTATGTTTACACTCATCTGTTTTCCTGACAGATATTCCTGTTTAGCGTTTAGCAAGCTCCCGTCAGCACTAACATGGATGGACAAACAGATCATAGCCGGCTAATTCCCCTTCACTTTAGCACTAATAGGCTAACATCATCACAAGCCTATTAAGGGCTGGTAGTGTGAAGCTAGTCACCTAGATGCTGACAGGAGAACGGGAGCAGTGTGAGCGTTAGTATGTGTACTAATCAGGTTAGTGCAGGCTGGAGATATAAATAATCTAATTAAACTGCTAAAATCGCCTCTCTGCCAGATTCTCCGTAGAGAATACCGTCATTAGCACATCTTGTTAAATTCATGTGAATGTTTTCTTCCCTGAATAGCTGCTACAGGAACAGGTTTAAGGTTGCTCTCAGTCCCTTGTCAAGTTACATGCTGCAAGACTAGCATGTTGCTGTCTTGGTGCATCATTATGGTCTTTGATGATGAAAGGGATGGATAAATATTTAGAAATTAAGGCTAATGGTGTGATATAAGCCCTTCTGCTAATGTTTAGAAATATTTTTATGAAAAAAAAAATTTGGACAGTGAATTTCATGCATGAAAGGGATGCTAGTTGGACACTTGATTTTTTAGGTTTTTTTAATGAATGAAAACAAGATTTTGTTGGTTTTTTTTAAATGGTAGTAGCTAAGTATATATGTCTTCTATTGCTGATTAGGTCAAATGAAAACCACAAATTACATAATTTCCATATTACAGGCTCAGCATTGCACAACTATGTAATGTGTATAAACTGATCAACCATAACATTAAAACCACTTGCCTAACATAGTGTAGGTCCCCCTTGTGCTACCAAAACAGGTCTAACCCTTTGAGGCATGGCCTCCACAAGACCTGTGAAGGTGTGCTGTGGTATCTGGCACCAAGACGTTAGCAGCAGTTCCTTTAAGTCCTGTAAATTCCAAGCTGAGGCCTAAATGAATCTGACTTGTTTGCCCTGATCGTCCCAAAGATGCTCAATCTGAGTGAGATCTTGGGAATTTGGAGGCCAAGTCAACAACTTGAACTATTTGTTGTGCTCCTCAAACATTTCCTGAATTTTTTTTACAGTGTATCAAAAAGCATTATCCTGTTGAAAGAGGCCACTGCCATTAGGGAATATAGTTGCCATAGTCTACTTGGTCTGTAACAATGTTTAGGTTGATGGTACGTGTCAAAGTAACATCCACATGAATGCCAGGACCCAAGGTTTCCCAACAAAACATTGCCCAGAGCATCACACTGCTCAGCTTGGCTTCTTCACATAGAGCATTCTGACTATCTCTTTCCCAGGTAATCGACACGTACGTACCCGGCCATACACATGGTGTACAAAAAAAACATGATTCTTAGGACCAGGCCACCTTCTTTCATTGCTCCATTGTCCAGTTCTGATGCTCACGTGCCCACTGTAGCATAAGTCTGATCCATGAAAGCCTCACCTCATAACTTGCAGGTCTTAAATGCTGCTAAAGGCCTGCTGCTAACATCTTGGTGCCAGATACCACAGCACACCATCAGAGGTCTTGTGGAGTCCATGGCTTGATGGATCAGAGCTGTTTTGGTGGCACAAGGGGGACATACATAATAGGTTCATTGGTGGTGTGTGTGTGTGTGTGTGTGTGTGTGTGTGTGTGTGTATACAGGTGCATCTCAAAAAATTTGAATATCATGGAAAAGTTTTTTTTCCCCATAATTTCATTCAAAAGGTGGAACTTTCATGTATTCTAGATTCATTACACATAAAGTGAAATATTTCAAGCCTTTTTTTGTTCTAGATGATCTAGATGATCATGGTTTACAGCTTATGGAAATCCAATATCTCAAAATATTAAAATAAAGAATTTATAATACAGAATCGTCAACCTTCTAAAATATTTTTTCCATTTATGCACTCAATATTTGGTCCGGGCTTTAAAACTTTAGCACGAATTACTGCATGAATCCGGCGTGGCATGGAGGCAATCAGCTTGTGACACTGCTGAGGTGTTCTGGAAACCCCGGTTGCTTTCATAGCTGCCTTCAGCTCGTCTGTATTGTTGGGTCTGGTGTCTCTCATAGATTCTCTATGGGGTTCAGGTCAGGCGAGTTGGCTGGACAATCAAGCACAGTAATACCATAGTCAGCAAACCAGTTACTAGTAGTTTTGGCACTATGGACAGGTGCCAAATCCTGCTGGAAAAGGAAATCAGCATCTTCATAAAGCTTGTCAGCAGATGGAAGCATGAAGTTCTCTAAAATCTCCTGGTAGATGCTGCATCGTCTCTTGACTTGAGAAAACACAGTGGACGAACACCAGCAGATGACATGGCACCCAAATCATCACTAACTGTGGAAACTTCACACTGGACTTCAATCAACTTGTATTCTGTGTCTCTCCACTCTTCCTCCAGACTCTGGGACCCTGATTTCCCCATGATTGTGGTTGTGTATTCTGAACCAGACTGAGAGATTAAAGGCTCAAGAAAGCTTTGCAAGTGCTTTGAGTTAATTAGCTGATTAGAGCTCTTCTCAGGTTGACATTTCTGTATTATAAATTATTCTAATATTTTGAGATACTGGATTTTTGATTTCCATGAGCTATAAGCCGTGATCATCAAGATTAATACAAAAAAAAAAGTCCTGAAATATTTCACTTTATATTTAATGAATATAGAATATTTGAAAGTTCCACTTTTTGAATTAAATTATGGAAAATGAACACTTGTCTGTTGGACTGTGACTGTGGAGCACTCAACTTAACCAGGGTGATATAAATAACAGTCGAGAACTTTGTTATGATTGAACTGAAGTAATGTAGAATGAAATGGAATGATTCAGAGATTTAGGATTGAAAAAACACTGCTGCAGTTAAAATTCAAATTCAGTCGAGATTGAGATGAAATGTCAAAATGTACACACACACACACACACACACACACGCACACACACACAGGCACATCTCTCATGGGTTAAGTGAAAGCAGGGCAGTCAGTCATATCCTGGATAATTACCAGTGCTTAAGTTGGACCACACCTTAGATAAACCCCTAATGCTCCAGTCTGCTGCAAACGCTCTGCCTCCAGCAAGCTGTGACATGTTCCTCCGCTTCTGTGTTTGTGTGTGTGTTTTTCCTCTGTGTGCTTTTTTTTCTCCAGTCGTTCTGTGCTTAGTTTCCTCAATCACGACCTGTTGATCTTTTTGTTATTGATTTTTGTCCCTTATGAAAAAATTACACATTTTACACGTGTTCATGTGAGTAATATAAATGTAAAAAATAAACAGGTGCACGTCACTGTTATGCTCTGACACATAAATACATGACACCATGTGAATAATATATGATCACATAAAAAAATTAACTGATTATGTGAAAGAACAAATGGCACCCTACATGTGAAAATAAAGGTTTTTAAAGGTATCTGATGATACTCAAGGTTTTGCTATCATGCCACCTCTAGTATTCTATATTCCACATTCACAAAAGAAAATTCATACTAAAGACTAAAAAGATGTTCCCTTAATGATGCTATTAAAATTGTTTTATTCTAAATTAACGATTTATACATGTGAATGAATGCAGAGTTTACAACAGAGGTGTGCCCATTGCTGTGATATTTTCTAACAAACTTTCTAACAAAAATATAAATAATTATTTTAAAATACTACTACTATTACTACTACTACTACTACTACTACTACTACTACTAATAATAATAATAATAATAATATATAGAAGCAGAAGAAGAAGAAAAGAAGAAGAAGAAGAAGAAGAAGAAGAAGAAGAAGAAGAAGAAGAAGAAGAAGAAGAAGAAGAAACTATAACTACAAAAACAGGAAGGATGTTCAACTAAATGTTAAATTAATTACAAAAGTCTGTGCCAAGCTTGATTCGTAGGAACTTAAGGACTTCACCTCCCGGCTACACACACCCCTCTACAAACAAACACACACACACACACACACACACACACACACACACAGGTGTGCAGTAATTGCTAGAGGTAAGGGACACCCACAGACACAGTTAAGCCTCAGTCCGTGTTTGCGTGTGTTGGGTGGGTGCATGTGTGTGCGTATATGTGTGCATGTGTGCCTGCACTCGTGCGCCTGTGTGTGTGTTTGTGTGAGGGCAGTGGTAGCTCAGTGGTTAAAACATTGGATTACTGATCAGAAGGTCGTAAATTCAAATCTCAATCCATTGAGATCTTACACATTATAAACCTCTAAATGATTGATTATGAACCAAACAGTGTGCAGTGCTTTATGATTGAGAAAAAGCAAGAATCTTTTGCTGGTCTTTTGAAGAATAATTGCAATATTTACAAATAAACTCTTTTTTTTTGTTTTGTTTTTAAATATGTATATTATGTACAGTGCCTTGCGAAAGTATTCGGCCCCCTTGAACTTTTCAACCTTTCGCCACATTTCAGGCTTCAAACATAAAGATATAAAATTTTAATTTTTTGTGAAGAATCACCAACAAGTGGGACACAATTGTGAAGTGGAACGAAATCTAATGGATATTTTAAACTTTTTTAGCAAATAAAAAACTGAAAAGTGGTGCGTGCAAAATTATTCTGCCTCTTTACTTTCAGTGCAGCAAACTCACTCCAGAAGTTCAGCGAGGATCTCTGAATGATCCAATGTTGTCCTAAATGACTGATGGTGATAAATAGAATCCACCTGTGTGTAATCAAGTCTCTGTATAAATACACCTGCTCTGTGATAGTCTCAGGGTTCTGTTGAAAGCACAGAGAGCATCATGAAGACCAAGGAACACACCAGGCAGGTCCGTAATACTGTTGTGGAGAAGTTTAAAGCCGGATTTGGATACAAAAAAAATTCCCAAGCTTTAAACATCCCAAGGAGCACTGTGCAAGCGATCATTTTGAAATCGAAGGTGTATCAGTCCACTGCAAATCTACCAAGACCTGGCCGTCCCTCTAAACTTTCAACTCAGACAAGGAGAAGACTGATCAGAGATGCAGCCAAGAGGCCCATGATCACTCTGGATGAACTGCAGAGAACTACAGCTGAGGTGGGAGAGTCTGTCCATAGGACAACAATCAGTCGTACACTGCACAAATCTGGCCTTTATGGAAGAGTGGCAAGAAGAAAGCCATTTCTCAACGTTTTGGTGTGACGTTTGGTGTGTCTCCCAGTTGGCTTGTGGCAAACTTTAGACGAGACTTTTTATGGATATCTTTGAGAAATGGCTTTCTATCTTTATGTTTGAAGCCTGAAATGTGGCAAAAGGTTGAAAAGTTCAAGGGGGCCGAATACTTTCGCAAGGCACTGTATATTTTTGGTTGTATGAAGAATATGGGGAAAACAACCCACTGCTTATTCTTTTGTTTTAAATGCGTTCTTCAAGGATTGCTTGAGGGATATTTAAGGGTTTTCATTTCTATTCTAAGCTATGTTCTACATGAAAATCCTACAGGTTTGTACATAGGGACAACTGAAGGAATCTTAAGGGTTCTTTGACTCTTTGACTCTTTGTTTTTTTCCTAAAAATGTAGGACAGATTCTAAGTTGGCCAATAAAAACCATGAAATATGACATGAAGAGAAAAAAGCTTCATTGGTGATGGTTTTCAAAGAGGATCTACTAAACCAAAATATCTTTAATTTGATTTGACCCTTTGTTCTATGAGTGTGCAAGAGGCTCTGATGATGACATAAAACAGGATGGGTTCCCAGAGAGGAACGAAATTAAACTGAAATCTCGAAGGGTCCTAGATTTTAACTTTTTTCTAGCAGTGTAGACTCTGATAGTCAGGCAAGAAGAACATGACACAAAGTGCTCAATATATTGCGCAATTTTTATTTATTATTTATCTTTTATTCAGCAGAGCCTCAGTGCGGATGAGCAAAGTAAGAATATAATTGATCAAGGATGCTTGTGTGTTTGATAATAAAGATAAATGTAATAATGTATCTTGAACTTTGAAATGAAGGTTACAGTTAGCATAACGTGAAAGAATCTTTGCAAAAAACAAAATCATCTTCATGGGAAGTTGTTCAGGAAACAATTTGTGAGAGTGTCAACCTGTTGTTTTTCTGTTTTTGCAAAAGGACAAAATGTTGACCTTGAACCTGTAAATTTTACATTTCCTCTCTTCACGGGCGTACACTTGTTTTGTCTCTCACAGGATGTTCGACATCCTCATGGTACTACTTTGCCTTTTGTCTCGTCTAATCCCCTTTTATTATGCCGTGTTCACCCAGAGTTCAGTAATGAAACCTGACTTGTCCCGGTACGACAGTGAGTCAGCATCCGATGCCACCTTTATGTGCACTACCTGTTTGTTTTTATGGGAGCAGGTTGTGCTTGGGTCCTTCCTGTGCCTGTGGGTCTGACAATTGGCACTCGATTCAGATTTAGTGCCGTTTTGTCTTGTTAATCGCTGCCTTTAATCCAAACAGAGGATGGAGTCCAGGCCCACCCAGGTGAGAAAGGGACTGAGAAGCGATGCAGATGTTTGCTCGCGGTTCATGACAGAGATAACACAATAGGCGTGTGTGTGTGTGTGTGTGTGTGTGTGTGTGTGTGTGTGTGTGTACTATGGGAATCCTTGCCACTCAAAAAACAGAAACCAGAAAGTTCCCTTGGCAAATAGTTTGCTTGTTTGTGATTGTTTTTGAATGTGAGCCAAAGAAGGAAGAGACACGCTATTATCTCCTGTATTTCTATGTAATCACTCACTTCCTTTAGCTTTCTGACCTCTCCTGTGCACCTTAACTTCAAATAAAACTGTTTGTTCTTCATAAACATATTTACAAATGAGGCCAGAGGCAGAGGGAGTGTGCGGTTTAGTTCGGAAGTGTGATAATAACATGTCAAACGTCTCAGCTTTGAAGTTTCAGAATGAGTTTCAGGTCATATACAAGTTCGACGCACTTGCATGGTGCAGATAATGTTATATTATTATGAGTAAATATGTTAAACAGTTGGCATTTTTGGAAAATTACAGGGAGGCAGAAATGTGTAGTGGATATGAAGTAAAGCTTCCTGCTGCTGCACAGCGTGTAAAAGTGGTGAAAAATGTCCATCGTGACCTTTTCCCATGATCCTTTGTTGACACACCACATGGCAGAATGTAATGCCTTCTCATTAAAGAGCAAGTAAGCGCAACAGAGATTTAGTGGCAGAGCTGTTACAGTCACTATCATACAATGCAATATCACACTAATACATCAGTACTGACTAGCTTCACCTTACTGAAGTTATTAGCTCGATCTGTTTCTGTGCTAATGTTACATCTATCAAGGCTAAAACAGACTAGTGCAAATAGTCTTCTTTATAAACCACAGGGAAGATGACAAAAAAAACACTATCCACTACTGAACGTTAATTAAATATGTATATAGTTTGAAAATACACGATATGGCCAAAAGTATTTGGACACCCGAACATGACATCTATATATGTGTGTTGAGCAATAGTGAAGTCAGGCACTGATGTCAGGCAAGAGGGCATTATAATTCATTCCAAGTGTGTGCAGTGTGGTTAAGGTCATGGCTCTGTGCAGGCTACATGTGTGCTTTTGTAAGTGAGTACAGGAAAGTAAAGGAAATGTTCCACAACATTAAATGTAACTACAAATTTATAGCAAATCACAATGTATCGTTCTTTAACAAATACAATTTGTAATTGTTGAAATAAAACACATGGCGACATACTGTTTTTGGAAAATAAGCACAGCACCACACAGGGTTTTATTCATTGCATATTTTGAGATCTGAAACTTGTTTGTATAACCTCCCCCCAATCTATCATCCTACATCGATTATCTTACACCTGTTTGCCAGGGAGTCTGGAGTCTATCCCAGGGGACTCATGGACATGTCTTTGGACTGGGGAAGGAAACTGGAGTAACCAGAGGACACCCTTGAAACATGGGGAGAACATGCAAACTCCCTGCACACGTGGGTGAAGGTGGGAGGCAAGTGTGCTAACCACCAACCCACCATGCCCCACTTCTTGGGGGACTAATTATCTAGAAATCTATAAATGTGTGCAACTTTAGAGCACAGGTTAAAAAATCACATCAATCACAGTGAGTTAGTACATCATGTAACACACACACACACACACACACACACACACATAACAGCGTGGAGAAATTCAGCTGTAAATCAGAAACCAGGTAAATTATGGAACACTTCAAACTTCATCATGACTTCCTTTGAGTGACTGCAGGCTTGATTACAACATGATTTGAGAACTGGTTTTCATATATACATGTGTGTGTGTGTGTGTGTGTGTGTGTGTGTGTGTGTGTGTAGAGAGAGAGAGAGAGAGAGAGAGAGAGAGAGAGAGAGGGAGAGCTGTTGATAAGCATCTGCTTTCGTGATGGCTCAGTAGCACTCAGTTTGCTGAGTGAGTGTACTGTGTTAGCTGGAGGGATGGAAGGATGATGTTTGTTTGGTGGAAGGATACGGTTAGGCCACCATGGCTGAGATGCAGAGATGGACAGATGAAAGCAAGCGGTGCTGAAAGAGACACGGCCGGCACAGAGCACCTGAAGAAACAGAAACACAGCAACACGAAGCGATAAAATCACTCGAACAGGGGGGTTAGCAAGAAAGGGAGAGAAAATTAAAAAGAAGAAGAAGAAAGGCAGGTAGAGAGGGAGATTGTTTTTTTATTTAGCAGAGAGAAGTATAAAGGAGAGCAACTGGAAAAGAAAATTACAAAAAAGAGGGGAGAAGTAAGAGAGATAAACAGATGACTGAAGTAGACAAAAAGGGGAAAAGCTATTGAGAGAAAGTGAGAGGTGAAGACAGAAGGATAGAGAGAATAAGTTAAGCAAAGAGAAGAGAAAAGAGAAGCAAGGAAGAAAGAAAATGAGAGAGACAGATAAAGAAGGCAGGCTTAGAATAATAGAGAGAGAAAAACATAAAAAGAGTTAAAAAAAAAAAAAGTTAAAGAAAAAAGTGTTTGTTTAGGTGTGTGTGTGTGTGTGCCAGGGTGCTCTCAGCATTCAACACACTCAGCCATCATTTAATCAATGTGGGTGTGTGACTAACACACTCTGACGATAGCCTTCAACGTGTGTCAGATACAAACAGAATGCAGTCATACAGTTAGAACACAAATGTTTTCTTCAGAAAACAAAAACCCTTTTACTATGTTGCACCAATAACCATTAACAATTGTCTATGGTGGTGGGGGCACTTACTTTTGCACCACTAGAG